GAGGTCGTCCGGCTGCATCGGTCAGGTGGCGGATGCTGCGGTGGTGCGCACAAAAACAGCCGCGAGCCCAGGCGTTCTTCCAGCCAAGAGATGCTGCGGCTCACCGCGGCCGGGTCACGCCCGCCACCTGGGCGGCGCGGCGCGGTAAAGCTGCTGGCCTGGTGGCGAGGCAGAACAGCCTCAGATGCTGCCCAATCCGCATAAATCTTCGAAATGCGCTTCATGATTATCATGTTCCGGCATTTGACTGGCGATTTCCGCGCCATTTTATCAGCACAGGCCGCATAAATATACAGCGCCACCTCGCCCCACGCTTGCTTTCATTCCCATGCACACCGCTAATCTTGCGAATAACCTTATCCGCAGACACTCCCGCCTATGTCCTGTCAGCGACCTTCCCTTGAACCAGGCCGTCCATATGCTCTTTACGCCGAGCACCATGGCTGGTTGTTCGGCTGGCTGCGCAAAAGCTCGGTTGCCCGCAAAACGCGGCGGATCTCTCCATGACACCTTCGTGTGCGCATCCTCGCGTCCCGCGATGCATTGGGCGGCATGCGTGAGCCTCGGGCGTTTCTCACCACCACCGCACGCCACCTGATCATCGACCGCGCCCGCCGCCGCCAGATCGAGGACGCGTACCTGCGGAACTGGCGCTGACCGTCGACCTGCTGGAAAGCTGCCAGCAATCGCCGGAGCAGATCCTGCTGACCCTCGAAGCCCTGGAGCAGATCGCGTTCGTGCTCGACGGCCTGGCGCTGAATGCCCGGCAGGCGTTCCTGATGCATTTCCTGGAAGGGCTGCGCCAGGCTGGAAATCGCCAGCCGCTTGGGGATCTCCGAGCGCATGGTGCGCAAACACCTGATGAACGCCCTGGTGCACTGCCACCACGCGCTGGATGTTTGAGCCCATGCTTGATTCCCCGCAGAGCCTCGACGAGCAGGCCGCCAGCTGGATGATGCGCCTGCACGACGGCAACCTCAGCGAGCGCGAGCGCCTGCAGTTCGAACAGTGGAAAGCCCAGGACCCGCACCATGCTGCCGCGATCGAGCGCCTGCAAGGTTTCGTCGGCCGCTTGCAGGCCCTGCGCCCGCAACACGCGCCGGTGCATGCCGCGCTGGATGCGGCGCTGGTGAAACGTCGGCGCAACCCGGCCGGCAGAGTGGTGCTTGGGTTGATGCTCGCCCTGCCCCTGGCATTAGCTGCTGCGCAGCTATCCGCCAAGTTATTTGCTGGCAGACCAGCGCACCGCACCGGCCGAGTGGCAGCGTATCGACCTGGACGACGGCTCGCAGTTGATCCTCAGCGGCAACAGCGCCGTGGACCTGACCTTCAACCCGCAGCAACGCCAGGTGAAACTGCTGCGCGGGGAGATCCTCGTGCAGGTGGCCCATGACGCCACTCGGCCATTTATCGTAGTGACTGAAGACGGGCAAATGCGCGCCCTCGGTACCCGCTTCACGGTCAAGCGCGAGGCGCCCGGCACGCTGCTGACCATGCTTGAATCGAAGGTCGCCGCCCAGGATGCCAACCACCACCCTGCCGTCGAAGTCAGTGCCGGCGAGCAAGCTCGCATTACCGCGCAGGCGGTCACGCGGTTGGGCCATGTCGACACACGGGCGACCAACGACGCCTGGCAGTACCACCAACTGGTGGTCCAGGACCGACCGCTCCCGGAAGTGCTCGACGAGCTCGCCCGCCAGTACGGCGGCCACCTGCAATTCGACCGCGAGCAACTGGCCGACCTGCGGGTGTCGGCGGTACTGCCACTGGATGAGCCACGGCGGGCGCTGCAATTGATCAGCGATGCGTTCCCGGTGCGTGTGCGCTCGTTCAGCCCGCTGTGGTTGAAGATCGAGCGCGAAAATAAATCGGCGCGCCGGGTTCCGCTTTTGCAATCGCCCCGTCAAGGAAGAAAGCACCTCATCACAGGAACCTCTTCCATGCCGTCGGACTTCAGCGTTTCGCGCCACCCCAAGCGTTCTTTTGTGCCCCTTGCCCTGGCGATCAGCCTGGCGACGTTTTCCCTGCTGGGCCTGGGCATCAGCACGCCGGCGGCGGCCCAGAGCGAGGTACAGCGCTACGCCATTGCACCCGGTGCGCTGGGCCCGGCGTTGAACCTGTTCGCCCAGCAGGCGCATGTGGCATTGCTGTTCGACGCGCGCAGCGTGGCCGGCTTGAGCACCGCCGGGTTGCAGGGTGAGTTCGCGGTCAACCAGGGTTTTGCCCGGCTGCTCCAAGGCAGTGGGTTCCAGGCCGTGCAAGGCGCCAACGGTTTTGTGCTGGCGCCGGTAAGCAACACCACCGGTTCCCTCGAACTGGCGCCCACCGCCGTCACCGGGCTGACCGAAGAGGCTTCCACCGAACACGTCAAAGGCTACGTGGCCACCCGCAACCTGAGCGCCACCAAGACCGACACGCCAATCATCGAAACCCCGCAATCACTGTCGGTGGTCACCAGTGACGAGATCCGTGATCGCCAATCCGAAACCTTGTCCCAGACCCTCGACCTGACGCCCGGTTTCACCAGCCAGCCCACCAGTTTCAACCGCACTTCGGACCGCTTCCGCATCCGTGGTTTCGACGTCGAGTCGGCCACCGGCGGCTCCCTGCGTGACGGCCTGCGCCTGCAAAACAACTCCTACGACGGCGTGCAGGAACCCTACGGCCTGGAGCGCGCCGAAGTGATTCGCGGCGCGGCCTCGGTGCTCTACGGCCAACTGTCGCCGGGCGGGCTGATCAACACCGTCAGCAAGCGCCCGAGCCAGACGCCGTACCACGAAGTGAACGTGCAGGCCGGGCAAAACAATCGCAAGCAATTGTCCGCCGACTTCACCGGCCCGCTGGGCGACAGCGAGACCTTGAGCTACCGCCTGACCCTGCTGGACCGCAAGAGCGACACCAGCGCCGACCACATCGACAACGACAAGGTCTACGTCGCCCCCGCCCTGACCTGGCGCCCGGATGACGACACCTCGCTGACCCTGTTGTCGTTCTACCAGAAGACCGAGACCCGCTTCTCTGCGCCACTGCCCTACCAGTTGGTAAAAGGCGTCGGCGACGGCAAGTTCCAGATCGGCCGCCACGACTTTATCGGCGACCCGAACTACGACGAAATGAACGGCGAGATGTCAGCGCTGGGCTACGAGTTCGAGCACCGGTTCGACGAGCACACCCGTATCAGCAACAAGCTGCGTTATTACCAGTCGGAGGTGACCTGGCGGTACCTGCAAGTGAACGCCACGCCGGCCTTCATCGCGACCGCGCAAAACACTGGCATCCTGCGCCGCCAGTACAGCGACCGCGTCGAACGCTCCCGTGGCCTGGCCAGCGATACCAACATCGAAAGCAAATGGCAGTTCGGCGATTGGCAGCACACTTTCCTGCTGGGCTTCGACGGCTATGACACCAGCTACGACTCTCACAACTTCCGAGGCAATGCGCCGTCGCTGAACCTGGCGAACTACGTCAACAACCAGCCGGTGGTGGTCAACCGCGCACCGAATACCGACCGGGGATCGCAGATCGACACCCTGCAAAAAGGCGTGTATTTCCAGGACCAGATCACCTTCGACGAACACTGGATTGCCGTGCTGGGTGGCCGCCATGACTGGGCTGACCAGGACACCGAACTGTTTCGCAACTCCGCCAAGACCAGCCAGAGCGACGAGGCCACCACCTGGCGCGCGGGCCTGGTGTACAAGGCCGACAACGGCCTGGCGCCCTACCTGAGCTACAGCGAATCGTTCTTCCCGGTGGCAGGCGTGAACAAGGCCGGGCAAGCGTTTGTGCCCACCGAAGGCAAGCAATACGAAATCGGCATTCGCTACCAACCCGAAGGCAGCGCCACCTTGCTGAGCGCCGCCGTGTATCAGTTGGTGCAGAAAAACGTGCTGACCCAGGACCCCACCGATATCACCTATTCGGTGCAAACCGGCGAAGTGCGTTCCCGTGGGCTGGAGCTGGAGGCCAAGACCGAAGTCACGCCGAACCTCAGCCTGATCGGCTCTTACGCCTACATCGACGCTCGCATCACCAAAAGCAATATCGCCAGCGAAATCGGCCAGCGCAGCGAAGACACGCCCTACCACCAGGCCGCCCTGTGGGCCGATTACCGCTTGGCCGAACTCGGTTTGCCGCAACTGCGCATCGGCGGCGGAGCGCGCTACAAAGGCACCACCCAAGCCTCCGGCGTACCGTCAGGGATGCCCGCGTATACGCTGTATGACACCCGCGCCAGCTACGAGATCGACCCGCATTGGGAAGTCGCGCTCAACGCCAATAACGTCACCAACAAACGCTACACCTACTGCGAGTTCGCGATTTGCCGGTATGGCGATGAGCGTCAGTTGGTGAGTTCGGTAACTTATCGCTGGTAGGCCAACAGCGCCTCACTCAATGCCTCAGGCCGCCCGCTGAACAAGGTTTGCAACGGCTGCGGCGACGCCAGGTGGCGGTACAACGCACTGCGCTCGGCGTAATTGCCGGCCAGGCGCACCGCCGCCTGCACGTACGCTTCAAGGGTCGGGGCGATGGTCCAGTCGGGCAAGCCGACCCGGCGAAACAACCCCTCGTCGATATGCTCGAACACCTGCGGCCCGGTCTTGCATACGCCCGGCAGGCCGACCGTCAGCGCATCGATGATGCCGTTGGTGTTGCCGAACGGGAACGGGCTGAGGAACAGGTCGCAGCGATTCAGGGTGGCCATGTAATCCGCGTAGGGCTGGTGCGGGTACACCGTGGCATCGCCCACGTAGCGCTCGATCAGGCGCACCAGTTGCGGGAACAACAGGCCCTGGGCCTGGCCCACCAGAAAGTGAAAACGCACGCGCTTGCCGGTCTCGCGCAAGGTGCTCAGGGCGATCGCCTGGCACGCGCGCAAAAACGTCGGGTTGAGTTTCATGGTGGTCGCTGCAATGGCGATGTTCACCACCGGCGCGTCGAGCCGCTCCAGCCGTGGCAGGTCGACGCTGATGGCCGACGGACGATACGGCTGGCCATCGGCAGGCAAGCGCAGCAGGTGCTCGCTGAAGCAGGCCGGATCACCGACAAAATCCTCTTCCACGCTGATGCAGTCGATATGCCGCGAACCCGTGGTTGCCGGATGCCCCAGCGCCGCCACCTGCAACGGTGCAAAGCGCAGGTTGCTGGCAAACATCGTGATCTGGAACATGCCGACGCTGGGCATGTAGAACACCTCGGGCCGGCGTGATTCGGCCAGTGCCGTCAGTTCCCGCAGGCAGGCGAACAAGTCATCCGGCCGGGCCAGCTCGATAAACTCATCGAACACTTCACGCCCCAGCGCATCCACGTTGGCGCCGTAGCCGACTGCGACCACGTGAAAATCCCGTCGAGCGGCCTGCAGGGTCAGCGAGTGGGTGCGGTAGATCGAATGCCCGCCGGAAAACCATTCCAGCAGCACCAGCATCAGCGGCTTCTCCCGGGCGACCGGTGCTTGTGGCACCACGCTGCGGATGCCCAGGCTTTCCAGCTTGCGTTCGATCAGCGTATTGATCGAGGCCTTGATGCGGTGCCGCTCCGGCAGGTCGGCGTAGCTGCAATGCATGTACACATCGTGCAGCACGTTCAGCGGCAGCGCGTCGAGGCTGTCGAGTTGCTCAAGGCGCCCCGGCAACCAGGCCAATAACGCCTCGCGCTTGGAATGGGCCGCCGGGGTGCCGAGAAAGCGCGGCGACATCAACGCCATGAACAGCGCCGCCGCCAGCGTCGGGTTTTGCGCCCACAGCAGTTCCACATCCAGCGGCAATTGCGACTCGGGGGAATACAGCAGGCAGAACTTCACCAGGTCCTGTTCGGCAATCCGGTAATCGCCGCCCGGGCCCAGCAGGTTCAGCGAGCGCAGGATGTGGTCGCAGTTGACGAAGGCGCTGGCGGCAAACAGTGATGACAACCAGCGTTGCAGGTTGATGAGCTGGCCAAAACCGTTGGGGCTGATGCTGAAACCCGGGTCGGAAAACAACGCGGTGATGGCGCTGGTGAGCCGGGTCAACACGTGGCTTTCCAGCTCTCCCGGGCTGATCGCCGGGGACACCGACAATGAGAACTGCTCCGACAGTTTTCCGTAGTTGCGATCGATCAACTGCAGCAGGCGCACCAACTCCCGGGCGCCGCCTTCGTGGTCGCGGGTGTAGCACAGGTATTCGAACGTCTCGAGGGAAAACACCGGATCATTCATCGGGTTTGCACCACGTCGATGTTCACCTCGTCGGCGGCGCTGCCCATTGCGGTGAGGTGATAGTCCGGCGCCAGCGGCTGGCTCCAGGCACCGCCCACGGCTTGCGCCTGCTGGTACTGGCGAGTGGGTTCGCTGGCGGTTTCCAGCAGCCCGTTGTGGATCAGCCCGCCACGGCTGATCAGCACCGCGCCGTTGCCGCTGGCGGTCAGGGTGGTGACGTCGTCGGTGTGGGTGATGTAGTTGGCGGAGGGTGTGTCGAGGTCCAGGCGCAGCAACCCGTCCGCCACCTGCAGCAGGTTGTTGCCGTGGTCGAAACTCAAGGCTGCACCGCCGCCGCTGCCGTTGAGGGTGATATTGCCGCCGGCGCCGGTCATCACGTTGTTGTAGCCCTTGGCATTGGTGGCGCTGAAGGCAATCCCGGCGCCCGAACCTTGCGCCGTACCCTGCAGGCTGATATCGCCGCTGCCGGAAAGGATATTCACCCCATTGCCAGGGCCCGACGCACCGCTGCGAATACTCAGGCCCGCCGCACTGGAAGCCGGCCCGGCGCGCCCGTTCAACGTGATGTCGCCGCTGGCTGTCGACAGGTTGATCACCGAACCGGTGCCGGTGGAGTTGAGGGTCGTGCCCGCATCTCCGTCACTGCTGCCATCGATGAAAATATCACCGCCCCGGGCCGCGTTCAGCGTGACCGTACCGGTGCCGGAAGACGCGATAAACACGCCACGCCCCGAGCTGCTGCTGCCTTCAATGGTCAAGGTGCCGTCGCCCACGCTGAGGGTTTGCGCGGAAGTCGCCGCCGTCGAACACACCAGCACGCCGGACCCCGACACGGCACTGCCGCGCAACGTGACATTCCCGCTGCCGCTGGCCGCGATGGTGTTGCTGGTGCTGAAAATCCGTGTGCCGTTGCCGCTGCCCAGGTTGGTGCTGTCCACCGTGATCGAGCCCGCGCCCGCCGTCAGCAGCTTGCTGGCGCCGGTAAGCACGAACGCATCGCCGGTGCCGGTGCTGCTGGCTTGCAACGCGGTAAGGCTGATATTGCCGCCGCCGGCATCAATGGTGCTGTTGCTGATGGTGATCGCCGTCGCGGTGGAGCCCGCCGCCAGAGTTGAAGAAGTGGCGCCCCGCAGGTTCACGTCGCCGCCCTTGGTGGTGAGCCGCGTGCCGTTGCTCAGGGAAATCCCCGTGCCGTTGCTGACGTTGGTGCTGGCCCAGGACTGGTCCGGCTGCACCGCTCCGCTGATGGTGAGGTTGCCGCCGTTGGTGCTGATGGTGGCGTTGCTCAGCGCCACCGAACCGTTGCCGCTGTTGTTGAAGTTGGAATACAGCGACACGTTCAAGGTCTTGCCGTCGGCGGCGCTGATGCTGGTATTGGTCATCACGATATTGCGGTGGGCCTGCAAGGTCAGGGTAGCGTTGCCCACGCCCTTGACGTTGTCCAGCACGTTGATGTCTCCCGACGTGCCGGCGCCCGAGGAGGTGCACACAAGAATCTTCGCGCCTTCGGACAGCGATGCGTTGAGGGTCGCCGAACTCAGGTTGGAGCTGCCACCGGCATTCGGCGTGAACGGCGAACCGGTGGATGTGCCGGAACTGGCGCCCTTGGTGATGTTGATATTGAACGGATCGATCAGCCAGGTACCGCCCTGGCCGGACACTGCGCTGAGGTCGACGATGCCGGTGATTTCCAGGGCATGCCCGGAGGTCTCCACCAACCCGCCACGTCCCTGGCTGCCAGCGCCGCTGACGCTGATGCCGCCGTGGAATTGGGTGCTGTCCTTGGACCAGAGGATCACCTTGCCGCCGTCGCCGCTGCTCAAGGCGTTGGCGCTGATGTGCGCGTCCTGGCCCATGAAGGTGCTGTCGGCCTCATGCACATTGCCGCCGCCCTGATAGTCGCCGCCCATCAGCACGGTGCCGCCGCCCATATCACCGTCGGCATTGATACGGCCGCTGTCAAACAGGCCGACGTACTGGCCGGTCATGGTCACGTTGCCGCCCCGCTCGCCCGCATTGCGCCCCGACACATCGAGCACGCCGCTGTTGACCACCACCCCGTTGCTGCCGCCGTCGAGAATGATCCGGCCGTTGCGCTGTTCCAGGCTGCGGGCCTCGATCACGCCTTCGTTGTTCACCACATTGCTGAGCATCGCCTGGGAGTCCCGGGCGCTCATGGCCACGGCGCCACCGTTGGCACTCAACAGCCCGCGGTTGACCACACTGGCGCCGATTGCCGGGTCGTTGACTTCGAGGTTGATCAGCCCATCGCCGTTGAAGTCGAGGGTGATTTTCTCGCCGCCGCCCAGCACCACCGAGCCCAGCCGCGCGACCACTGTGCCTTCGTTCAGCACCTGGCTGCCGAGCAGCGCGACACTGCCGCCGTCTTTGGCATTGATGGTGCCCTGGTTGATCACCGCCCCCTTGCCTTGCCCGGCGAATACGTTTTTACCGGCCATGAAATCGCTGTTGGAGATGTCCAGGGAACTGGCCACCAGGCCACCCACATCCACCATCGAGCCGGCGCCAAACAGTACGCCCGAGGGGTTGATCAGGAACACCTGGCCGTTGGCATTCAGGTGCCCGAGGATCTGCGAACCGTCGCTGCCGGTGACGCGGTTGAGGGCAATCGAGGAAGCGCCCGGTTGCAGGAAATTAACCTGGGCGCCGCTGCCGATATTGAAGGTGTCCCAGGTGGCGATCAGCTTGTCGCTGCCCTGGTGCACCGTCATCACATTGCCGTTGCTGACGATGGTCCCGCTGCCGGCGATCACCTGGCCGTTGGTGGGCAGTGCGTTGCTGTCCAGGGCCAGCGCCGGGATGGGCACCAGGCTGTACAGGGCGCACAACACGGCAAAACTCAGGGGCTTGAGCACCGGCAATTCGGCTTTGGATGGATGCGTCTTCATGGCCTTCTCCTCAGAACGAATAGTTGATGCCAGTGCCGATGGCGCTGATGGTGGTGCCCGCGCCCGGCGAGTAGCCGCTGGCCGCGGTGACGCCGGTCAGGGCGAAGTTGTAGTTGGCCAGGGAATTGTTTTTCAACAGCACGTACTGGCCGAACAGGTCAATGCGCTTGGTCAGTTTGTAGTTGGCGCCGACGGCGTACTGGGTGGCCCCCATGCCGTGGGTATCGCAGTCGGGCGCGGCCGCGCCGATCATCTCGCACTTGCCAGGCAGGGCCTTGCCGTAGCTGGCCTTCAAGGTCCAGGCGCCGATCTTGTGGGAGGCGCCCACCAGGTAGGCGCGGCGGCGGTAGCGCGACAGGTCGCTGGAGGTGGTGCTGGTGTTGACCACCCCGTCTTCGGAGTACGACAGGTCATCGGCGATCACCGACAGTTCGGTGTCACCAAAGTCATAGCCCAGGCCGTAGCGGAAGCTGAAATCGTCCGACGAGGTGCCGTCGGTGACATGGGTGCTGCTGCCCAGGCCCCGGGCGTTGCGGCCCAGGTCGGCAATCCCGAAATAGTTGATGTGCCGCTCGGCCGCGAACACGGCGGTGAAACCACCGTTGTTGTAGGTCAGGCTGGTGCCGTAGACGTAGCCCTTGTCCACATCATTGGCCACGCTCATGCCGTTGTTCGAGTACGCCAGCTTGAGCTGCAGGCCGTTCCACACCGGCGTCCAGTATTCCACCACGCCGGACTGCCGCCGGTTGAACGCCGCATCGCCATTCACCGCCGTGTCGTCATAGCTTTGCGGACCGACAACATTCGTCGACAACCCCGCGCTGAAGCCCGGCGAGCCGATGATGTTGAAGTACGCGGCGCTGGTCTTGCCGTTGAACGGATCGAGCGTGGTGGTGGCTTCTTTCATCGGCATGTCCCACACGCCATACAACAGCGTGCCGTAATCGGTGTTGTTGAACGCCGCACCGGTGTTGCGCAACTTGGTGCTCGGGGACGCCGAGGGGTTCACCGATTTGTCGTCGCTCGCGGTGTAGTTCATCGAGATGCCGTATTCCAGTTGCCAGAGCAGTTTCCAGTCGTCGCTCAGGCCGTAGCCGCCGTGCACGCCGATGGCCGAGACGTTATCGCGGGCACGCCAGAAGCTCGACATATTGCGCCCATTCGGGGTGGCCAGGCGGTTCTGGTTGGCGGGCGCGGCCGGCGTGGCGCCGTGACGGTCGACGTATTCGGGGACGATGCCGAAGTCGCCGTAGATCACCGTGTCGGTCTCGGCCACGGCGAAATCCTCGCCCTTGGAACCCAGGTCACTGGCCAGCCCGGCAAACGCCTGGGGCGAGCCGGTGACCGAGAACCACAGGCGCTTGGCGGCGCGGTCGTCGCTGGTGGGATCGTCGCCCGGGGAAAACGCCAGGCTGGCATTCATCACCAGGTCGCGGTGGTAGAGGTTCACCCCAGGCCGTAGCCGTAGCGGCTCAGGTGGTTTTCGCTGCGGTCCCATGGGTCCTTGTTGACCCGCACTTTGCCGGCGTCGGCGAACAAGGTGCCTTCTGCGATGGCCCCGGAAAAGTTGCCGAGGTATTTGCGCAGTTCAAGGCGGCCCAGCACACCTTCGTCGCCGGCCACTTCGCCTACCGGGTAGGCGCGAACGCCGTTGGGGCCGCCGAGGCTGAGTTTTTCCGAAGAGTCGAGGTTCTTGTTGGCCCACTGGGCGGTCACCGAACCAAACAGCGAGTAGCCGTTGCCGATGGTTTGCAGGCGGCTGAAGTTGAAGTTGGTCTTCTGGTAACGGCCTTCCGCCCGGGCGGTCAGGGCATCCAGCGACGCGTCGATGGGGGTGTTTTTATCCAGGTAACCAATGCCGTAGGACAGGCTCCAGGCGTTGCTGCCCTGCCAGTCATCGCGCCAGTTGCCGTAGAGGGTGGCGCTGCGAAACACCGCGGCTTTCTCCACGGTAAGGCCGCCGGCGCTGTCTTCGAAACGCCGGTGGTCCTCACTCAGGTTGAAGTTGATGTTGCTGTCCCGCGAGCGCAGCAGCGAGCTGTTGATGAACACCGACGACACTTCGGCGGTGCCGCCCGCGTTGACGCCCTTGAGGTTTTTACCGATGGCGTATTCCAGCTCGGCATAGTTGGCGCCCACCGAGATCCCGGTGGCCCCCAGCGGCTGCTGATAACCGACACCCTTGATGTCCAGGCCCTCGAAGGTGTTCTGCGAGTTGACGGTAAAACTGTCGCCCACACCGAAGGCGTCGTTGAGGCTGACGCTGGAGGTGAGCCGATTGGAACCGGTGTAGTAGTTGCCGTAGTTATCGATGGCGGCACGGGCGGTGATGGCGGTCATCTCGCTGAGCTTGAGCACGATGTCGGCCGCGCCCGGCTGCTGCGATGGCCGCAGGATCGCGCGCACCGCCACCCCGGTGATGTCCGAGAGGCGCAGCAGCACGCGCTCCAGGTCCTGTTCACGAATGATGGTGCCCGCGGGCAAGGCGTCGACAAACTGTTGCTGCACGCCGGGACGCAGGCGCACGTTGGCATCCGGCAGCGCACTGACCTGGCCGATCACCCCTTCGGAAATCCCGATGATCACCTGGCCATTTTGAATGTCCTGGGCCGGCAGATACGCCCGGGCCACCAGGTAACCGCGGGCACGGTACAACGCGGTGACCCTTGAAGCGGCTTCCCGCAGGCCATCAAGGCCGAGGGTCTGTTGGGTGTACGCCAGCAACTGCGCCTGCACGTCGGCATCGCTGACTTGCCGGTTGCCCTGCACGGTAAAGCGCTGCACCACCAGCTTCACGGTGGAGGGGCTCGGCGCACTCTGGGGCTCATCGTTCTGGCTTTCGATACGCACGCTGCCGGGCCGGGCGGCCTGGCCGCTTTCGGTGGGGCGCAGCACCGAACGGCTCGAATCGAACAAGGTGCCGGAGGACGGCAAGGTGTCTGCCTGGGCGTGCAGGGCAATCAACGTGGCAGCCAGCAAGGTCAAGCGGCCAGGCCCCAGGGCGCGATGCGCCCGGGTAAACGGGAGGTGTGGGCTCATACGGTTCTCTTATTGTTTTTATCGAGACGCAGCGGGCGGTGAGTCTTACGGGAAGAGGATCCGGGCGACGTCCTTATCGCCGAACAACCGTGCGGCGTTGTGGCCAATACCGGGGATCGTGTACTGCGGATGGCGCAGCGGCACCCGCCATTTGTTCGACAGGAAGCCTTCATAACCGACGTACGTCAGTTGGCGCTGCAGCCGGGTTTCGCCCTGGTAATTGGCCCCGCAGGAATTGTCCAGCACGCGGCTGGTGGGGTTGTTGTCCTGGGCGCCTACGAGGTAGGTCACGTCCCGTGCGGCGTAGCGGGTGAACAGCTGGCGCCCGGTCAGGTGCTGCATTTGCAGGTATGCCGGGGCGGCTTCAATGCCGTAGCGGTAGCGGTTGTAGCTGGGGCACAGGATGCTCACGACGGGGGCGAACGCGCCGTCCTGCAAACGGTTTTCGTCGACGTACAGGTAGTTCGACGGGCTGGCGATCACGTAGCGGATGGTCAGGCCATGGGCCTTGAGACCGGCATCGAGGTCGTTGACCACGGCGTAGCGCTGCATCAGCTGTGCGCCTGCCGAGTGGCTGACCATCACGATTTCCTTGAGGGCCGGAAAGCGCTGGCGGTCGGAGAGGTAGCGCACCACATCATCGAGCACCTGGAAGGCCGGGATGCCCTTGTGGCCGTACTGCGATTCGATGCCGTGCATCCACCTGTCCCGGGGCCACAGCGGCACGTCGTCGCTGACGCCTGAATCCTGCGGGGTGAGGAAGTTGGGGGCCAGCAACAGGGTGCGTTCGCCAGGGAGTTTGGCGCGTTGCCCATCAGCTTGCGGCCGGTCTTGAAGTACTGGTCGGCGTCGCGCTGTACGCCGTGAACGATCACCACCGCGCGTTCGATGGATTTGGGCGGGTTGTACAGATCGGCGTTGGCGCAGTGCAGATCAGGAACGGGTAAGCCTGATCGTCATGGCCCAGAGCGTGGGACCTGGCGGGCGTCGACGTCGCGCTTGTCGCTGGCGTCGGCCTGGATATCGACTTTGGCGCAGCTGGTCACGCCCACCATCAAGGCGAAGGAGACCAGCACGGTGGCGAAGGTTTTGCTGCGCTTCATGTAGGCAGTTCTCTTGTTTTTTGCGAAGCCTATCGAGCGCCGTCCTCCTATGAAAAATATCTAAATAATGCGGTTTGAATAC